AACTCATATGATTGTGGGAAAATTCTACTACCAGTCCTTCATCACCTTACACGAAATGGGGTGAATACATTTAATTACACTGATTTACTGGTAGTCTCGAAACCCTACTCAAATACGACTAGATGTAATCATCTATTTTTCTTTTTTTCATAACTTCACTTTGCCTTTACTACTTTATGTCTATACAGTTCTCATGAATTTATCAATGTTCCTCTCCACCTTAGCTTCCAGGCAATATGCTAAAACGCCTTCAAAAGACCATCGAGTGGATGCCACCTGAACCCTACGACCGCCTTTTGCTAATGCTTCTTGCTCCTGCTAGGCCGATCCAGACTGATTCTCCCATAGATCTCCACCACAATATCTCGCAATCTACAACTGGCCGTATTTCTGCGCCTTCATTTTCTGACAGAATAAGCTACTCAGAAGCCTCTTCTTTCCTACCTGGCAGCCCTAGTTTTCCATATGATCGCTTAACTGCCACTTTAGGCCCTTTTGATTCATTATCCGGGGCCAAGGCTAGCTGGAACGTAGCGGGGTTGATCGCGTGTCCTGCCGATTCGTTGACCGGCTGCAGCCAGGCTGCTCAGAACAATGCGACTGCCACAGCCTCCATTTACGCCTCAAATGCCATTGGCACTGCTTCAACTTCCTCAGCTACTGGAAGGTTTAGCCTTTGTCAACAGGCCGCAGGCAATGGATCAACTTTTGTCTCCGGCCCTTCAGGAAGGCTGGCAACTAAGAGCGCCTCTTGCTCAGGACATGCTCTTGCGTCGTCTGTAAGCTACGGTCTTGGAGGTTCGGCCTATGGATTGCAGCGAGGTAGTGGCGGTGCTAGTGGTGGCGGATGCAGTGGAAATGTTGGATACAGCCGACTGATTCCAGGCTATGCCAACTGCTCGAGCCGACGAAAGCTGGCATCAGGCGCCTCACTAAGTAGTGCACATGTCAAAAAGCGATCTGCTCTTGTCGCAGCAGAGGCCTCGCTCGCTTCCACATCTTCACCACTTGGAATAGATTCTAGGGCCTTGCTCACCGGATCTTCTTATGCCACAGATAAGAGCGATCTTCTGACCAGCCGTCTTGTGGTTTGGCTCAAGAAGCAGATCTTCGTCCTTGGCCGCAACGAGGATCAACATTCTACAGCATCGCACATCTTTATTCGATAGTTACTCTTCTCGGCTATTCTTAGGAGGATTACTTGTAACTAAACGGCATAATATTTTCTAATTGCTCCTTTACTACCAATTCCACTATTTTCAACGCTAATGGACACTTGAAAGATGCGACCTTATTCATCCGAGCTAAGTCATGATCATGTTTAACTCTTTTATTCTGCTCCAGGTTGCACATTCATTGATCATAAAATTAGTCATTTACTTTCATCGTACATTGATATGGATCTATGTATCTATGGCCTCCTAATCTTCAGGCCAACAAATTTTCCAACTTTTGTTCCCTCAGAGACGAATCCTATTTTAAGAATCTAAATGCATTTACACTTTTGGATAGAAGTCAACTAAGTTATTATCGAATATAGGAGCTGGCTTTATTAGAATCTTCTGTAAAGGATAAATGAAAATTATTTCTATAATTTCTTCACCTTATTTCACCATCTTTAAAAACCAATACCGACACACAACAACTTATTCTACTTATTTGCTGGCATTTAATTGACTGATGC